AGCAAGAAAATCGAAAAACCACTTGTGAAATGCTGCTCGACAGATACAAAAGAAAGTCCATCGTATCATGACAGGTGATGAAAAATGGATATATTTTGAGAATCCTAAGCGTCAGAAATCATGGGTGAATCCAGGCGAACCATCGACATCCACTGCAATCGCTTTGGAAAGAAGACAATGCTCTGTGTTTGGTGGGATCAGAAGAGTGTAATCTATTATGAGCTACTAAAACCTGGTGAAACCGTTAACACTGATCGCTACCAACAGCAAATGATCGATTTAAATCGAGCATTGCGTGAAAAACGACCGGAATACGGAAAAAGGCAAGACAAAGTCATTTTGTTCCATGATAATGCCCCATCACACACAGCAAAACGGGTCAGGGAAACGATCGAGACGTTCAGTTGGGAAATACTAACGCATGCGGCTTATTCTCCAGACTTGGCTCCTTCCGATTATCATCTATTCGCATCAATGGGACACGCTCTCGCTGAACAACGCTTCGTATGAAAATGTACGAAAATGGCTCGATAGCTGGTTCGCTTCAAAAGAAGAAATGTTTTTTTGGCGTGGCATTCATAAACTGCCGGAGAGGTGGAAAAAATGTATAAATAGCAATGGACATTATTTTGAATAAAATATTTTTTATCATTTTCAAACAACAGACGTGTAATTTTTACAAAAAAATTCCGGTTTCATATTTCTATACCTGGTATGTGTTTATCTCAACTTCGTTACAAATTAATATTTATTATTTAGGTAGTGAAATGAATGTACAGGAACGTAATTGTGTTTGATAAATATTGAATTTAGGTGCAGCCCTCTTGACGATACTGAAAAAACAATTTTGCAACTTCGCAACCTCCTTAAACGTGATAGTGAAAATGATAAAGATATGAGGTAGAATGTCATTCATTTGCGTGTGTACACTATTCAATATAAACTTTTGAAGCGTAGACGAAATTTCAATTTAAAAATTATATCCCCGATTTCTTAAAACTGTCTACCTGTTCCTTTTCCGTAACGTTGCAATGGACTTCCGCCTGCTGTCTTAACTGTAGGATCTTCTGAGAATTAAGTTCAGCAATATTGTTAGTCACTGAAGCAATGGCAGCTCCTGTTTTGCTACGCAACACTGTCTCAGAAGTATACGGTGGTCGTTTCTCAGTCGAATTTTTTCCGCTATCTCCTATCCATTTAGAGCTTTGCGTGGTCTGACCATGTACGTACTTGTATTTGCGATCACGAATGGCCTGGTAAGTTTTATCGATGTTTATCAGTACTTCTTCTCTGGAATTAATCTCATCGGATGCAATCGTCGGCCACATATCAAAGCCATCGATCTTGCCAATTTTTTCCTTGCTTCCGCCTGTAACCAAGAATTTACTGATATTTCTTCAACACTGATCGAAAAGCGATTTGTGACTAACCGGCGGCAGACAATAAAGTGGGCAACCAATCGGCTATGTATATCAAATCGTTCGAGACACGCCCGGGTTTGTTGATCAGAGGGCTCCAGATTGCGGCTATACTTCGCACAGCACCTTCCCAAGGAGTAGCTTTAATCTATAAATATTCCGTTTTCACTCGCATCACAGTTTGTATCAAGTTACGTTATTAGATGGCTCAAGTTCTTCCTTCGCAGCGAATACTTACTCCACGTAAAGGATAATTACTGCCGTAATTATACAGAAAACCATCAGTAGGGGCTCCGTTATCAGACATGAAAAGAATAATGCTATTATCTAACATATTGCGATTTTTCAAGGTTTCCACGACCTGGCCGACACTTTCATCCATTTTAGAAACCATAGCTGTAAATAGTAACACCAAGAAATAAAATAAACTGATTCGTTTATGACATCTGATAAATCGTACTGCTACGAGAGAATCATTGAATCTATCGGAGTTATGGACATTTACCTATTATTATTATTATTATTATTATTATTATTAATGCTAAATTAAGTGTAATGTTTATTATATATCCAATAAGCAAATGAATCGCAGATTCTGTGCAGATTGACAGCAAATTTGAGCAAAATCCCACGCCAAAACTATAACTATCTATGTCCGCAGTTTCTATCTGCAGTATCCTGCAGTTCGCGTTCAGGTCCTGCTGAGAGATAATCTGAACAGATTGATAATAGAAAGCCTGTCGCCAAACTGCGCGTAACAAGACTTACTCGATTTCTATTACCAACCAAATTATTACAGGCTCTGTTTGATTTCTATCTACTTGTATTGCTTGTTAACATGTTCTGTCATATTTCTGGCAATTTGACAACATAATTCTAAGTTGGATTTGTCGTCCTTTTGGCATAAAAAACTTATAGTAGACTCTGCTCACAATCTGTTTGTGCAGATTTGCTTATTTGAATATATAGAGTCTAAACCACAAGTAACTATAATGGAATAAGTAAAACATAATAAAATAAAATAAAATGAAAAACCGGAAATGGAAAATCCTCAGAATGGAAAATCGAGTCTCAGAGAATGATAGCATTAATACTTTCAAGATAAATTAATGTACAATGTGAAAAATTATACTGCACCAGCATAAGTTCTTCTGTTTGGATCGTCGATGTAGGAGAATTTTTCAATCTCTTCGGGGGGAGCTTTTAGTAAGTGCTCCTGATTTCCACGGTGGACTGCAAGATGTGCCAAGTATAAAAATAATGGTTTATCGGGATTGTGAGCATTAATTAAGCGTACTGCTTCCTTGGTGTAGAGATCCGTTGAATAGTTGCCTTTTGTGTCCCACACGACTTCCATATTCCGTCTCATGTCCACGCCTCGAAAATATGTCAACTGAGAGAAAAAAGATTATTGCTATATATAATATTTTCAATACATTCTTTTTAACACCTTCTTTCAGTTGAAAAACCGCCACATATTTTTTCTAGTATTGAAAAAAGAAGTATATGACATTCCTAAAATAACTTACTGGCTCTACTGCTTCATGACTATAATAATCTTGGAGACCACTCCAAGAACCAAAAAACGTATCGAAGCCCCGGCAAAGCGGCGTATATGCCTGTTTGTAGTAACCTAAGTGCCATTTACCCAGTAAATTTGTTGAATAACCTAATTCTTTTAAATGCTGCAAAATCAATTCGTGACATGATTATTATTGATGTGCATTCAGCTAAGATATTGATTTGCGGTCTACTTTATGACAACAAAGATCTTTCAATACCTCCGACATCAACTTCTCTTTTAATGGAAGTCCACGTGGTTCTGACGGATATATAACATCTTGTTGCATGCCCGTATGGATAGGATGCTTCCCAGTCATTAAGGCTGCTCTACTTGGTGTGCACATTGGTGATACATAATGATTGTTTAGAATTATTCCATTATACGCGAGAGCGTCGATATTTGGCGTAGGTATCTGGTCGGAACCATGGAAGCTTACATCATTCCAGCCCTAGGAATAACGATACGGAATTCATTATAATTCAACAATAATATAGAATTTATTTCTGTTTATTATCATAATTAATGACAAATCTTTTGTTGTATTCTGTCGTTAAATTTTATCAAAGCAATCCCGATTCTTTTCAAAGAAAATAAAAGATAAAAAAAATTTGTAATTTGATCATAATATTAATATCGTTAAATCTACTTACCAAATCGTCTGCGAGGATGATAATAATATGCGGTTTTTTGGAATCATTTCCTTCGGTCGTTTCTAGTAAACAGACAGGTATCAAGGTGTCCAAAAGAAACACTGTGAAGAGCAGCAAGGACAGTCTACTCATCGTGAAATACTGAAATAAAAAATCATAAAGTTCATGTGTAAACCACCTGGCATGTTATTCTGTATATGTAGATCAACAACTATCGGCTAATACCGGAAAGTGCTTATAAGAAATGTCTCGACGACTGAATTATTCGTTGGTATAAGTGTATCGCTTCAAATGGGGCCTATTTATGGGGCGACAAAATAAATTTGGATACTTAAACCAATATTTTGTGTTTTATTAAACAATTCCCGGTATTTATTTGACAGAATATATATTTTCTCTCTCAGAATCTGACTTGCTGTATCTTATTTTTCTTTAAACAGATTATGTTTAAGTTAAAAGCACATTTTATGCTTATGTATGGGTGTATGCGTATATGCGTGTTTGTATTTTTACAGCAATCTGTATTACTATATAGAACAAAGATAACGTGTGTAAATCGAGCCTCTAGTTGCTTGACGTCTTCGTTAATAGACAAGTAAATACATACGAGCTATGACAATATTTAGCCTTGCCCGTCTTGCATTACCTTCTAAAACATTGGGACCTCTCCGAACATGGAATCATATGGTTTGATATATTTTATTTTTCACATATAATTGTTATCAGAATGAAATCGCAGCAATAACACTATTCAACAAATAACAATATTTCTTTGCTAACATGAACAAGATAAAGTGGTCTTTATTCATTTTTACTCACTGAATGCAAAAATATCAATAAAAACTCTGTAGCACGTGCAACTTTCTTTTTACTTCTTATTATTAAAATATATATCAGGATTTTTTAATAATAATATCTTACTTATTTTCTTTCGATTACTTTTACATTACGAAATGAGTTTCGAGTTCTTCTTTTCGTATCACTTTTATATCATGAAATGATGAGTTTCAGCCCCTGCTGACGACTGACGTGAGTCAGTCGTAACAAAGTACACAAAAATAACGTGTTACGACTTTTTGAATACCAAACATAGAAAACAAAGTCAACAGGGAAATACAAAATATAGGTTTTACTAATGTTACCGAAATCTCGTTTACTAATGTAATAATTATGACGAGTAATTTCACAAAGTAAAATTCGCGAAGATGTTTAAATCAAACACCACTAATTACCTCGCGTTATTTCCGGTTGGCTCAAACGACAGAGCTATCATTAATCTCGTGACGTCTCTCATCGTGATATCGATCGTTTGTTACCGCGGATTTATCACGGCGCAATAATCGCACACTTATTTGAAATAGTCATGTACATCAATACAATTAGTATTCGTGCGCATAATTTATTGTTTCTTGTTCGTGGCGTTGAGATATCATAACGTTCATTAAGCATAACTGATAAGAACACGACCTATATTTTTTTTGCATTATAATACAGGGTCTTCCATTAAGAGGTTTCATTTTAAGTTTCGCGGTATTTTGTACCTGTTATAGATGGAGTTGTCATATTTGACAGTTGTCGAGTAAAAACTGTGCGGTTAATAACAATGGATCGATATTCGCTTGAGCAACGCATAAAAATAGTGAAAACTCTCTACAAACACAGTGAAAATTTCGCTGAGACAGTTCGCAAAATCCGTACCAGTTTCGGTTGCAAAGAAGCACCTTCTCGTCCAGCAATTGTGAATTTAATCGATAAATTTCAACGTCTCAGCCAGATTAGCGATGTTAAGAACCCAATCCATGCTCAGCCAGTCAGAACAATCGAAAACGTTGCTGCTATGGTTGAGAGTGTCGCAGAAAATCCTGGCTTTTTTATTACCAAACGTTCGCAGCAATTGGGCATTTCACAAACCAGCCTGCGCATTTTGCATAAAGATCTTGGCCTACATGTTTACAAAATCTAACTGACACAAAAATTGAAGCCGACGGACAACGCCGTACGTTCATCGATTGAATATTGGAAATGTAAGCGGTTGACTTTGATTTTTTCAAGAAAATCATTTTGAGCGATGAGGCCCATTTCCACCTTTAAAGCTATCAATAAGCAAAACTGCCGCATCTGGGGCATTGAAAACCCAAGAGCGATTGACGAGCAACCTCTCCATCCACAACGAGTAACAGTTTGATGCGGCTTTTGTGCTCGCGACGTCATCGGGCCATATTTTTTTGAAAATGAAGATGGTTGCACCGTCACAGTCAATGGATTGCCCTACCGAGAAATGCTGACAGACTTCCTTTGGCCTGAAATTGAAGAACTGGACCTAGACGATATTTATTATCATCAGCAAGATGTGGTTACGTGCCACACAAGCCGTGAAACAATCGCATTATTACGTGAGAAATTCTATGGACGTGTCATTTCGCGTAACGGAGACTTCAATTGGCCGCTCAGATCGTGCAATTTGACACCCCTTTTTCCTTTGAAGAAAATTTATGTGAAGGATAAGATTTACACAAACGCTCCGCAGATGATTCAAGCACTCAAAGACAATATTCAAACTGTTATTGGCAAAATTGAGCCGTAATTGTGCGGAAACGTGATGGAAAATTTCCTCAAAAGAATGACCATTTGTAAGAAAAATCGAAGCGGCCATTTGGATGATATTGTGTTCCACGTTTAATCGCACAGTCTGCACTTTGGATTAGAATAAATACATCTCAACGTTTTCAAAAACTTATTCCTTTTTATTAATTTAAAATGAAACTTCTTAATGGAAGACTCTGTATATATAAATGATGTTGAATGTTGAATGTTGAGCAAAACTCACGATGTTGCCAACGGTGTACTTGTGCGCTCTTCTGCTACTGGCGAGCGGCTTTTTCGCTAAGATAAGATTTCGCTGAGACAATAAAGTTTGGTGGAACAACATCGTCTTTTATCAGATTTATCCGGGAAGCTTGTGCGACTCGGATGCTAATAGGTGATTTAAAAGGTAAACTTGATCAATCTATGTTTGTTTCATAATTGTTACACACATATATGTACAGTAAAACATGAGTTATTATAAGTGTAGCTAAGATTTTATTCAGGAAGGGGATTGCAAAAATTTATCTTCACATAAAACTTATTATCATATTTATATTAAAACTAGTTTACACGAATCTTCAGTAAACTTTCATAATTCTTCTTAAACTTCTTTTTCCAGCTTTATTTTTTGCATGAGGACCATTTTTCAATATATTCTTAGTATACATAATTTACTGAAACGATTTGACTGCAACTAAGTTTTCACTCTTTGCAAAATACTAATAGATTTTTCAACAGTGCTCGTTGCGCATGTTGAGTCACCGAATGTCTGATAGCGAAATTCAAAAATTATATTCATTTTCATGAAGTATTGGTAATATTTTGTCACTTGTTTTTAATTACAAAACTATCTACTATAGCTTTTTTATAGAATATAGATTGCAATTCCAAGTTGCATAATGTCCCGACGTCTTTAAAATGTTTTTAAGACGTCTTACGTTTAGATTTTAGACATTGTGCTCTCTGAGATGTATCAATTACATTTCTTTACTTTTACGATCAATATTTATAGGTATCTAGATAAAATTATCTAAATATTCACCGAGATGAATAAATAGATACTCTTTATCTTTATGGAAAAAATATAAAATATTTTCATCTTTATCTTAGATAAAAAACATGTTATCTCATCTAAAAATGATGTCTGAAATGATGTTATGGTCCATATTCCAAATTCACTCTTTTAATCAAATGAATGAAATAATATAGACCTATGCGTTAATTGGGTGGTACGTGTGTGATCGGATATTAATTTAATAAGTTTCTTATAATTTCATTTTTTTTTAATTTTATAGGACAAAATTTTATAGGACAAATCCTATTAAATTTGTGTGAAGTTACATAAATTTTTTTACAAACCTCTATTGCATTAACTTCTTCAAAAACGCAATTTTTATCGAGAAAATTTAAATTGTCGCGTTTGTTACGTTTATATTCATGTAATAAATCAAATTTAATCGTTAGTGAAGTGATAAAAACAAATTCATAGATAAAGATATAGCTAAAGATAAGAGATCGCTCAATTCTTCATCAAGGACGGAATCGAGATAAAATATGAATTTTTTCAGCTCAGCAATCATGATAACCCACAAATCGCTTCTCGTTCCCCCGATAAGTCTGATTAAATGATCGTGTTGTTTATGATCTTATTTTTTGTTATTCTTATTGTTTATGATCTTATCGTGTTTGGCAGTAACGTATTACAGCGACGAAATTGGTATGATCGATAAGAAGGATATATCTTCGAAAGACACATAGGGTCCTGAGGCGTGCAACGCGGGCAAAATAGCATATTACATTCCTCTTGACGCAATAGTTTTTTTTTTAATTACGACCTGAATTTATTCAATATTAGAGATTCGGTCTAATTTACGGATCTTGATTATTTTTTCCAACGTTACAAAATTTTAATATGTATATAAAAATCACTTATGCGATATATTAACTGAAAATTCAAGATAACTTGATTTCATTTCTCTACGACAGGTTTTAGTACAGCGAACTCGACGTGGCTGCCCGTGAATGCGAACTATAAAACACTAAATTTGACGGATCAGAAAACGGCCAGTGTGTCGCATTATAAAATTTACAGAACATTTGCCCACATTCATCGAAAGCCGGCTGTTACCGAGAGAAATTGCAGATTGTTCACGAAGAATGGTAACAAGGTTCTATGTGTGATCCTCCGGTTCCCGTTTCGCGTCACTTCTCAACAACTTCAAAAACGATCAACCTCAAGTAGTCGATCTATCGAACGAAGAACTCCCAGCAAAACTGTCGGTTAAAGTAGCCAGCTTGGATTCTATGGTCCAACCGGGGTAAGGCTCAAATACTCTTTCTTTGTAAAATTATTTATTTTATTCCAAATTAGGCAGTAACTTGCTAATTCAGTTAAAAGTTAAAAATTTGATAACTTTTAACTGAATTTAGTTATCTTTTATGCAATAAAGCTTTAACATATTTTTTTTTTTATTTACGTTAAAATATTCCATACATGGCTTTGCATAATTGACTTTTGCATAGTTAATTTTTAATTTTATTTTTAACTTTGTAACTTTTAATCTAAATAAAATTTATTTTATTTTAACTTAAGTCTTAATTGAATTAGTATTTTATTTATATAGCTTTTAACTTAAACTTAATTAATTTATAGCAATTAATTTTTAATTTTTAACTTAATTTATTTAAAACAAATTAATTTGCCTAATTTTACCTATACGCATATATAATAAAAAAAATATCTTTTTTCGTGCTTGTAGAACGGTAGTCGACGTAAACAAGATATCTTTACCGGCGAAGGATGCTGTAGTATATATGTCTGCTTAAGAATATATTATTTCTCAAGTATTATCTTTATTCGTTAGAAAATATTTCAACTGCACTCTGTGGAACACTCTGTGGATCTTTCATGCAATAAATAAGAATGAATAAATAGTGGTCAATTCATGAATTTTTACCTGACCTGTTTTCCACCGACCTCATAGGATATCTTGTTAACCGACACCATACCGACCGCCAGTATACGCACGACAGTGCGTCCAGGCATCATACCGACCGCCAGTATACGCACGACAGTGCGTCCAGGCATCATACCGACCGCCAGTATACGCACGACAGTGCGTCCAGGCGCAGCCGGAATTAATTAACGCGCCGGTAAATCCAGACGTCGTATTGATCGTGATAAACGCATGCGCTTTTATTAATTCGATCGCGCGCTGGTGGGGCGATGCAACGATATGTGCGAATAGTACTGTGAGGCAGCTGTGAAACTCCCGATAGTGCAAATCCATGGTAGTATGACGAGAGCAGTATCGCACGTGTCGACGAACATTCGGCGAGGGTGACAGTGATCGTTGTCGATCCCGGGCTTCATCCCTGTGCTTCACGGTACTTGACTTGAGTGTATACAAATCGGAGGAGTCGAATCATTAATTCGCGAGAGACCAGGAGAACACGATTCTGTTTTGGTCGACAGCCAACATCGACAGGTTCACACGCGATTACGCGATTATTCATCCCGTCTGATTTATTATAGTCTTGTTCCTAACGATTATCTTTGAGAAGTCTTAAAGTTTGAATATATCTGATGTAAATTTGGAGTGACGTTAGCGTATTATACTTCGCCGCGAATAATAATAGACATGGCTGACAGGACGATAACGGAGAAGTATCGTGTGTTTTGACAGCTGCATATGTGCCGTTCGACTGCAGCTGAAACATTGTTTTCCTTTCATTGCCAGTATATTTTGCTACAGTAATGTGTGTTTTTTTTCTTAGGAATTGTCGCTTACAATGTCTTTAGTAAACTTCTCGAAATTATTATCGGCGTACTCTCCCGTAGAACGTCAGGTTCGCGAATTTACTTCGCATCTAGTAATTATTTTCTCGCGTGAATAAATACTTGAGATAATACCGGCTGTCCTCATTCTTCGTCGTGAGCACCGTAAACGGTACAGAAATTATTAGTATGTCGACAATATTTTGCGTTGTTTTAACATACATTTCACTATAAAATTGGTTCAAACACTTGCACAAATTCGCACGAGCGAGCAGACTAGCCGTACGCTAGAAGACGATGCTTTGACAACTGAATATCAAAATATCATGCGTTTGCAATGAAAGGAAACTCTAAAACGAAAAATTTAAATTTGCGTTAAAACGAGCAACGGAAAGTCATCCGGCTTTTCGGGAAGTGCCGTCGCGCGGTGCCGAAGGTTGCGGATTCACCGTCGCGAGTTTGATTAAAAAGCGCTATCCCGGCAGATCGCTCTTGCGATATTGGTTTTAGACGCAAAGTAAATTAAATTGCGCTTTGAATCGACAACGAGATACTCGCCGCCTGGCAACGGCGACGACGACGGACAACGTCGTTTGTTATGACGAGTGCAGTTATGTCACGCGATTCTATCACGACGCACTGCTGTCCCGTTCGCGCTTGCGAATAAATTGCAAGATCGCGTTGAGCAGCCCTCGTGGTATCTGTGAATTCGCATTTTCGATTTGTCATGTGCACGGCGCATTCGTCTCTCTCTCTTTCGTCTCGCTGCAGATACTTAAAAATGTCCGCACGCAAGTAAGCGCGTCCCGCATTGTGCGGGACCGCATAATATAGATAACGCTGCATTGCAGTTGTGTACTACTGTGAAACGCAATCACCCACACACACACACACACATACACACCGCGACATTACGCCCACACACGACATCGTCTATTCCCGCATAATCCGCTTGTCCGATGCCACGAATCCCCTATTGACGTTTGTTCGTTGTCTGTTGTTTGTACGCCGGCCGTTGCACTTTATAACATCCGTCTTTCAGATCAAATCTCTCACCCCTGCTTCTTTCGTCTGCTGAACTGTAGCCTCGTAAAATCACATATCGCTATGTAATAAAAACGCTCTCGATATCTCCCACTTTACCACGTGTCTTTTATGTTATCGTAAAGAAGAGGGGAAACAGCAAGATAGATGTTATACTTCCCTGTGCAAAATCGATCCGGATAATAGAACGATCGTATTTCGGATGTATCCTTGACACGATTCCTCCAAGCGATATCGAGGATACGTGCTTGTGCTCCCGCATTGCTTACTGCCTCACGTTAATCTGAAATTCTCGCGACGTCGAACTTGCCATAGAATTGTGGACACAATCGATGATCTATATTTAGGCACCGTTGAGAGGCGCAGAGAGAGAGAGAGAGAGAGGGTCAGTGAGAGAGAAAGCTTTGTTCGCAGTTCTGTACACGGCAACATCCGGTAGTCCTTCATCGCGCATTCCGTTTCGCTTTCATGCCATTACGCAGTTTATTATACGTAGGCTCATTAAGCCCTTTGTGCTCCGCGACACTATCGATGAATCGCATGTGCGTAATGATCATTTGCAATCGCTCAAAGATACGATAGCACGAAGTTCGCAATGTCACGAGTGTCACGGAATTTCTGTTTTCCCGAAAACTCGCCGGCCGGTTAAGAATAGCCCCTCGTAGAGGATATCCGCGTTGATTTTTTTTATCTCGTGCGGTCAACAAAGCGTTGCGGTAGACCAATTAAAAAAGCCCATTCAGTCGCGCGCGCATCCAGTCGCCGGCGGACGGCCGTCGCGCAAAATACGGTCCGATTATCGAATTCGCTGCTTTTCCACGAAACTATTGTCTTCCTCGGGAAAATCAGATGGTGAAAGTACGTGTCTCTCTCGTAATCGCGACATTGAGGAAATTACCGCGAGTTCCGAAGACATCACACACCGTGATGTGTGTGTGTGTGTGTGTGTGTGTGTCCGTTCATTCGTGATACTGTTTGGGGTGGTTGGGGGGCGTTAAACAAAGATTTCTCTCACAGAGACCCTTGTCGGCGACAAAAAAAGTGGAGCACGATAAAAATGGATGTCCTTTCATATGACGTGTCGCACGGTTCTTCTTTTTTGACGTGCGGAAAAACGCGAATGCGAAAGGTCACGTGCACAGCGTGACGCACGCGGCGCGGTACGTGCAATGCAATACACGATTGAACGCGGGACGCATTTAGATGCCTGTTGTGATTACGCGCCGTCGATAGATCGATTGATCCGCTGGATCGCGTATTCCGCGCTTGATGTGTTTTTCAGGAGCGCACGGACGGAACGATAACTCCCTCCGTTCGATCACCGCCGCGAGAAATGTACGGCGACTCATGCGAGTTTTACCGTTTTCTCGCCCTCGTTCGCGCTCTCTCACTCGGGGCTTTTCCGCATTGACGGTGTTCCAACGTAAAAATAAAACAACACGATATTTTTAAAACTTGCGATAATAATAATTATCCGTTAGGCCACGTGGTTGCGGCAATATACAAAGCTCTCGATTGGTTATTCGCTCAAGCTAATTTAAGTCGTAAGTCACCGTTCATTCTTCGTCGTCATTGCCATTGCCATTTTTACGAAACTTTCGTATGCGTCTTCTTTTTTTTCCACGGTGCTATGGCGGCCCGAGCCAAAATTTTAGTCCTACATTAACCTCTTGACCGTCGATGGCATTGATGTGTGTCATGAATGAATTATTAACGTTAAATTATAAAAACACTTTTTCTAAGTTTAATACATCAGTAGATTCACATTATTTAACATATTTACTATTTTATTAAGAAATTTGATAAGGAAATTAATAAAATAGTCAATTACATTTTATTAACGTATTTTATTGATATATGAAGTTTATATTTTAATTATTATTTTCAGTGAATTTTGAGAGTTTAAAAGAGCTATAAAAAGAAATATAAATATATATATAAATTAAGATTCAGTAAGAAAAATTAATGATTTTTTGTTCTTCTATATTTTCACCCTGTGGTCCGCCATACTGGGACAGCCATTTTGCATTTATCAATTTTAACAACAGTTTTTTATTCAGTGACCTCGAAAATCCCTTATACACATATACTCGTCACAATTGATTTATTAATGCTGGGTATTTTAGGCCCACTTGTGTAGGTTTGGTGCTGATAGCGAAGGGATTAAATTTAGTTAGTTTTGCATTAAATCTTCTAATGTGCTTCTTTGATACTAAAAATAGGAATTTATTATCATTTTGTTCATTTGAGGACCTAACGCAGAACTAAAATTTAAACTTGAGGGCTTTCAAGTGACCGTTGGCCGGCTTCACGATTTAAATATCGCTTCTCCAGCCGATATCCTCCTTTCAATTGCCTTCCGTTTTTCAGCGCGATTCACCGTTATCGCTTCTCGCACGTACATGTGTATGCATAAGTGCGTGGGTCATGTCGTGGCCTATATACATCGGAAATTAAGCTTACGTCTCTTATCTGAAATTACTTTCAGCCTTGCTCGTTTCGCAGGGACTATATCGAGCTTAGAGCAGGCGGGGTAGATCGTGTTAGTTTCGAACCGATTGCTCAGCTGAAACGAACGCGCGATTGACGTATTTGCGACACATACCGCTCCGACGAATTAGAAACCCTTACCTGGTCGATACTCGAATGAGGTCTCCGTCGTATAAAATCCGATTGTCGGAAATTCTGCCCCCCTTCCCTCTTTCTCCTTTTCTCATTCTCTCTCTCTCTCTCTCTCTCTCTCTTTGCTGCCTCAGGACTTGGCGACGCGCGTAGCGAATTCGACACTCAATTTCGCGCGTCGTCGTTCCTAAGTTCGGATAATATATTTTCAAAAAAAACGAATTTGAATCTCGAGGCCGGTAATCCGTTCTATGCTAATGCACCAGTTGTAATCTGCGACGAAAGATTGCGTCACGCGAGACGCTCGTCACGTTTCAATTAAAATTGCAGATATGCGTCGGACATTCGTGGTTTTAAGCGCTCGCAGCGAACGCTATAATCCGACCGTCGTCTATTTGCGTGCGTAACTAATAATCTTAATTTTCGATCTTGAACTTCTGCCGCGGCACTACATCGCTACGTAAGTGCTTACGACGTCATGACAGGTATCGGTCGGCATTAATTGACGATCTATTGAGTCATTTGTTGGCTAGACATATGACGAACGTTCTGTCCGCTGATAACACCATTCTCGTGGACGTGAGCGTTTACATGGGGGTAATTGCCATTTGCGTGCACGATTGTTGTAGAACATGGTAGACGTTACGACAGCTTTGCCATCTAATGGAGGGGGCTCGCTAATTGGACGCACCAGAGGCGCTCTCAGGACGGTGCGATCCGCTTTGGGCGGCAGCGGGGAGTATCTTCAGGGCCTAGGAAATAGGATAGGCTCCGCTCTTAGTAGTAGCTTGGAGGAAAGTGAGCTAACTACGACTCCATCTTCGCCGCCGTCGTCACCGCCGCAAGCAGCACCGCCTATCAAGCCGCCTATCAAGTCGGAGGAGCAATTAGGACGACGGAAACTTCGGCTTCCGAGGTAACCTGACGCGATTCATCGTCCTTCCGAGATTCCGTGGATTATTCCTAAACGAGATCCTTTATCTAAGTTATCTGAGCCGGTTACGAAGTGATCGGCCGTGGCCGGGTTCACATGTCGGTAGAAAATCCGGTCGAAATTATGCCAAGGTCAAGTCGAAATCATGTGAAAATTAACGTTCTATTTGATATTTGTAAGACTTCATCACGATATCTAAAATATATTACGTCGACATGATATTAACCTTTCCGAGACCAAGCGGGATATTTTAAACTCTCCACAACAGTTTTTTTTTATATTTAACTTTGTTGCTATCATGTTTTGCGACTTGTACTTTTATGTATATGTCACTTTTATACCACGAAGTTATAGTGGAATTTTATTTTATAATTGCTTGCCATTTGATGTGAACTTTGCCTAAGAAAAGAAGATTGAAGAACTAAGTTTATATGCAGCTGGTGAAACTTTATTTGCAGGATTCATAGAAAAGTAGAACAAACAAATGATTGCTTAATTTGCCAAACAGAATGAGAAGAATGTTGAGTAATAACAAAAATAAAGTTAACATTAAAATTCAATTTATATAACATGGTTTTTGTCCTTTCTTAAAATATTTTATTATTTAATTTTATGAATAAAGAAGATTATAGGTTTATAATAGATTTATTATAATCTCTAAAGTAATTAAGAGCTAAGTTATAAAATAAAGATTATAGAAAAATAATTCAATATCGTATATCGGGATATGAGAAATACCCCAACGGTCGGACAGAACAGAAGAAATTTTAAATTCGGCTATGGAAGAGTTAACATGTCATGCGGATCTGTCGTTAATGTCACGTCGATCCTCCTTTGCAATGAAAAATCTAATACTTATCAAATCGAATGGTTTAAAAAATTAATCATCGATATCGAATTGATCATGAACTCATGAACCCGAATGGATCACATGTGCCCTCATTCCTTTTCACGAAGTACGTGTGTATATAGTTCTTCTATAATATAATTTTAATTATATGCGCAACTTTTAGCAAACGTTCAACACGTCGTGCATGACACAGGCATCAACGTGTTAACCAACACGGAGGATAATATTATAATGCTCCCGCTTCATGAATATTCGCTGGCTGACACGTCGATGTTTTATTCGTAGATTCGGCACGGGATTATCCTATGAGGATTACGAGGCGATGGCGCGGCACAAATTGGAGCGACAGGGGAACACCAATATTTCCAGGTGTACGCGGAAATATCCCCCCGGGATGACTTATGAGGAGATAGCGTCCTCGAGATCGGCCTCGAGCAAGAAGCAGGAGAGCCGCACGGAGCAGGACGATATCAGTCCTGATCGAGACAGCCAGGAAAGTATAGAGCCCCTCCAGGAGCAGGACCTCAAAGCGACTGGACCGGATCCTTACGAGAAGTTGAATTACAAAGCAGGTGATTAGGTGCTCTCCGTCTAATTACGCGCGGCGAATGTCGAGATCAATGACTCTACTTGTCTTTGACGACAGTCGTTATCTCTCTATCTCTCTCTTTCACTGGCTCTTTTTCTCACGGTTGTCGCGATTATGCAACGATCGACACTCGGATGGAAATAATGTGCTGTGTTCTTCTTTCTTTTCACGAAGCGAGGGCGCCTACCCGCTATCAGACGATCGTTTTCCGTTTAGGTAAATGTAATGTCAGTGTGGATTCCTCTTGTACGAGCTGTGTGATCTTTCTCTCTTTTTTTTTTTTTCACCTTACACGAGTTTCCTCGGTGTACTACACATCATAGAAATGCTTGAAGTCCAAAGTATCGATACTTTCGTCCATTCGGTGTGAAGCGCAAATCGAGGCTACATGATCCTTTGTCTCGAGGAGTTAACGTTATTTCATATTTAGTATATCATAGTATATCAATTAGCGTGTCGTGCAATGATATGTGAGCGCATCGGTAACGTTTGATCGCAATGCGATACTTCCGTTGATACTGGCTGCTGACGCACCGAGCTGATTCCGAATCAAGGGACGGTATTCATAGTCGGATGTTATATTTAAGACCGTCTTAAGTTTGTCTTCAGATGGCTATACGGCTGATTTCATTAGCTACAAAGCATCCGAAAATAAATTTAAGACGGTCTTAAATATAAGATCTGAATATGAATACCGGCCAAGGTGTCATCGTCGAAGAGATATCTGACATTCGGACAAAGTATCGATACGTCGATGTTATCGTAAGCGTTTCTCATCACGTGTCCGAGTTTTCGACACAGAACTCAACCCACTAAATGTAATTAGCGAATACTAGAGCGATCGATATTCGCTTGACCCGGTGTTCGAATATCTCTGGGTCGACTCCGGCGAATCTCCTCTATTATTCACAGTTCGAAGAAACTGTACTTGCGGAGCGCGTCACGTGTACATACACGTGAAACACTACGATTCGACACTTGTATATTCGAACACATCAAAATACTTGTAGCTAACCCTCCTTACCAGAGATTGCATCCCTTTGGTAAAAAAGTATCTTTAGCTATATGTGAATATGTGTGCGAGCGCGCGCGTGCGTATATGTGCGTATATATATATATATATATATATATATACTTTCACGCGACTATTTTTACCCATCCCGATTGCATTCGCATTTCCGACGCGAAGACTATCCTTCCTTTATTATGCGCAAGCGAGAAAGCTTCAGCGCGCGATAGTAGTCGTTTTCCTGTGATAGGCGGTCGCAATTATAGTCGGACGATTACTTATACACACACACCGAGTTTCCGTAATAACGCGGGGTATATCGTATAATTGCTAGAGCCGTATGTATTATAGATAGAAGGCAATATTATGTAACATGATGAGTGCAATCATGTAACATGACGGGCACAAAAAGCGCTGTTTTCGATGTTGACTGTAATGGCGACTGATATCCATACGAGTGCGCTCTCATGTTGACATTTTACTTATACGTACGAAGTCTAGTATTACACCAAGTCGTTAAGTGGATAAAACGGCAATATGTTCCTCTTTATGGCATCAAAGCACGATAAATGCTCCTTTAAGGGAGTTCTCATTTGTAACGTTTCGTTGGTAGATAACTTCAGATTTTTTTTAACTATAACGTATGTACATACCAGTTTCAAGTTTTGCATAAATATTTATCCATATTTTACATATTTTACATATTGTAATTTCTACACATTATCATTTTCAATATTAATAAAGATATAAATAATTTTGCTAAAGCTGATCGCGAAATGTTCGTTACCACGATTCCAGACATTGTGGGTTTCTGAAACCAACAAAAAGACAAAAATATTATTATAAACTTATGGCTATATCGCCCTCGCCACGATGAAGTCAATATCTTTAATATTTCCATTTTTTAAGGACTCCTAAGCTGAAAAAGATTTGGCCAAAAATCGATTTTTCTCTTTTAAGTCGTGTTATAATTGTCAAAAATCAATTTTTATTCTGCACCGTGGTAGGGATAATAGCCACAAGTATATAGTTTAATAAATTTTTTGCCGTTTTTTAAATTTCAGAAGCTTACAACATCCGAAATCATGGCAACTATGTAAGCAAAACTTCCGTTCAACGCTGCACAAAATGATTTATAACTTTATTAATATTGAGAATAATAACATGTAGAACTCATATATATTGTTAAAATATAGCTAAATATTTATATAAAACTTCAGAATTGTATGTCTTACAGTTTTTTCGAAACAAATTTCCAAAAATCATCTACAAATTAACGTTTCAAATGAAAATACCCTTTTAATGCTACAAATAACAATTGAAACTTCCCGAGTCAAAATTTTAATTTAATTCTACATTAAGTCTCTAAGTGGAAAAATAACAATAACTTTCCATTTGTAGCATCAAAGTAGCATAATAGAAGACTTTTGAAGACTTAAGCTCGGTTTTTATTTCCTGGTTAATTTGTGGTTTAGGCTTAATCTAATAGTAATGTAAAAATTATGTTGTTTTATGCATGGTTACTCTCATTAAACTTTAAAACTTTGTCATTACAATTATCAGTTGAATGATTAACCATGAATAAAAAAACACAATTTTCATATTATTATCAGTTTAAGTCTAAACCGCAAGTTAATCAAAAAATGAGAAATAAGATCTTAACATAGAATTAACTAAATTTAATGTAGAGCTATAATTTCAAGTCGAGTTCCGTTGTTTATAATAGCCTTGCTTGAGAAAATGTTCGTGAGGCCGATAACGACGAGAGTAATGAATCTTTGAAATATGATTGTCTCGCTTCACCCGACGCTCATTCGGTTGACATTGGCGGGGAGTATCGGGATTACAATTTTTACGTAAGAGTGGCCAAGTATACGCTATGTTGCGTAGCCTAGCGCGAACTTACTTACTTTTGTTATTTATTTCTGTCCGGCTAGTCGTAGATTATTAGACTCGACTGCAAGTTTGGGTGTCACCCTTCCGACAAACGTGACGCACTATTGCTTGTGACACGTTCGTTATTTTCGCACGAAGACACCTAGGGATTCAACTTGATAGAACATACGTTCCGTTTTGCAGACATACCTTGCAGCAGCGATTCTACCAGCGATCAGGACGGGTACGGGCCAAGCACCAGTTTGGATTCTAACATGGACGGTCGCAGAATGTGGCAGCGATCAGGTGATGATCTTCTCGATTTCAATTCACATGAGTGATAAAAACCGTTTTCATCGCCTGAGCGAACGTAACGATGCTTATATAATAGTAACGTACGCAATAGCTCATCGATGATTAAATTCTAGAAAATGGAGGAGAATTTCCAAGCCATTGCACATTATGTACCTAAAGCTATAATGCACATGATCAAATAGCAACCATGTGCACAAATAGTGTTATTTTTGCTCAGGGTCATCGGGCTCGGTTCAGTCCTGGGCTTCGAGTTTATCGGCTGACAGCCAATCGGAAGAGGCAGCTGCAGACTTCATGAAGGCTTTCGTGCCTCTTTTATTTGATGCACCTAACAGTATCGATCAGGAGCAGAAGGCTAATTTTGGGCAGATGGTTCTGGTAAGCGTCAAATAAATATTACGAAGCGTCTATAACGATAGAATATACGTCGTCCTGCAAAATATATAAGACCCCTCTCTCCCGCTGGTCGAGTATTTGTAACGTTCTCTCAGAAACGTGTCAGACTCGAATAGCGTGGGACGAACGGGACAAGTGAACGGCAAAATGAACGCGAGTGACATAACGTATACGCTTTGAGGCTTGATCCGACGCTGATGACGAACTTGTAGACAGAATCGGGAAGAATATGGTTCTCCAGAGTGGTGAACGCAAGAAGGGCGCGTGCTTGCGTCACTGAAGCTTCGTTCTACTCTTTGGCTCAGCATTTCGCGGTCGCACTGTTCGAATGCCACGAGGCGGACGACTTCGCTCCCGCTAAGAGTCTTATGAACATGTGCTTCACTTTCTATCACGAAGGTAACGAGAAGCCAACCGCAGATAGATTATAAAAATAGTTAACATTTTGATTGCCACGCTGATTTCCCTTAATCACCTCGAAGGTCAACTAACATTTAACTCGCCAATGATGCGATAAATAAATGTGATCTGTTAATTAGTGATGAATAATTGCAATCTTTTATGTCCAGCAGTTTATATAAATTAATGAGACGTGGTATTATCATCATGCTTTTTTCGGTGATCTACATGATACAGTCAACGTGTCAATCACAGAATACGCTGATAAAACAGTCGACAAAAGAAAAACACCAGAACGAGACTAGTCATGTAACTTTCTTGGACGCTGAATACGAATCCGGTTTCCAAATTGCTCCATCACGTCACGATTTTGCGAAATTTGCCGTTAAAGTTGCAAAACAGAACATACTGTTTTCACATATTTTATCATATTATAATTACGATATGTGTTGATGATTTTGCGTGTAGCCTCGGGAAGCGTGTAGCCACGATTGACGCAAACGAGGTCAATAGAACCTCTAGCTTAATTTCTTGGTTGCGAAGATAATGGTACAGGCGCCGATTAACTCTTTATTAATCTTGCTGGTTTATTTAAAAAGGGTCAATTGCGAGCGGTGTCTTGTATGTGATCGGATAGTCTAGCTCCGTTGAAAATCAAAAACCAGCTCCAGTTATCGAAAGCCGCTTATAAAGGCAGCGATAGTCAACAATAACGAACTTCGAGAATGTTCTCGAAGGAGTCAACAATGCGAGAGGCAGTAGACAACAAACATAAACAGTCTAACGTCTCTCGCCAAGACAAAGAATTTAAATTAGAAAATGATACAAAACAATATATGACGTATTTTAGAGAAGTTTTATTGCAATCAAAATTAAGTATGTTTTTAGGACTTTCAGTCCTCAGAAGAAATATTTTGTTTCGGCTATGATTAATAAGAGATTTATGGTCAAATGTAGTGTCTATTGCGGAGAAGCTATTAATTAAATCATTGATGACTTATCAAATAGCTTTTAACTATGTTTATTCAAACTTAAGGGTTTCTTAAATCGCTGAATACGAACTTGACGTCAAAATTGACAAATTCAACATGCTGAATTCAAGAATGTCAAAATTAAAAAAATCTCCGGATTAGTTTTGAACGGAAAATTTCCTTTTTAGAACCTACATACTTAATTTTAAATGCAATAAAATTTCTCCAGCACGTCATATATCATAGTTATAACATGATTGCATAATTAAAATAAGCGAAAAAGTTCTTCTTTGTAACTTTAACTGCAAATTTCTCAAAATTATGACGTGATGGAGCAATTTAGAAACCGGATTCGTATTCAGCATCGAAAGAAAATTATAGGAAATGACTAGTCTCTTTCCGATGTTTGAAAAGATTATTTTTTGTTGAACTGTATAATTCGTCGAGATTATATAATGCAATATAAAAATAATATCCTCTGGACGGTCATTTTCAGTGGAAGTCCCCGGATTAGAGCCTTATCGCGAGTACCTGTACACGCACTTGCGCGTCCAACCGATTTGGACGTCCATGAGATTTTGGACCGCCGCCTTCTTCGACGCGGTGCAGTGCGAACGAGCCTCCAGGCCGGTGCCACCGCGGCCGAAGTCCTTGGATCAAGAGAGCATCGCCGCTGAGGATCGGAGGTTTCAAGCTAACATAGTCTTCGGGCAATTAGGGTAAGTATCGGCGTTCCATTTGGACATTCATAATCGATTAGTTTGGTCATGCTCATTTTCCGATGTAACGACTCTTCCAGGACTTTCACCTGCAACATGCATGCTTTCGGCCTGTCACGAGTTTTATGCACCGAGTTCCTGCGGAAACAATGCATCATCGCTAATTTAACGAAAGGTGACTATTATTCGCGACATCTTTGAGTAAAATAAAGAAAATGAAGTTTTTGACTAATACGTACCGTTGTCGCATCGATTTCGCAGAGCAAGAGAAAATGCTGCGAGACAACATAGACCGGATGTTCGACGAGACCGAGCCATGGCGGTAGTTTGCTTTGTAGACAGGACCGATCTTGGAAATCGCCCTGGAGAATCGCGATTCGAGAGATGTTCCTTCGCAAAAATATTATTGGCGAACACTAAATTGTTCTCGAACGCCGAGATAGCGGCGAGGTCAATTACGAGTGCGATCTTGTTGATGTTGTTGGTCGTAAATCGACGTCTATTGAATCTTGTGCGGTATTCGACGCTGAACACGTCGCTTCCTGGGACGCAAACTTTGCACCGTTGAATCTTGCAACGGTCTTATCAAAGTTCTCATGTTTCCGATACGAATTAGGTAAGGTACTAGTCTTAACAGCGCTTATGAGGATAAGAGCAGTTGAAATCAGAGGTCTGTGTGGAAGTAATTACGAAATTTTGAAATAACCTGAGTCGAAATTTTAATCTTACATTAAGTCTATTTGGTTCTACATTGTCTTCAAACGGAGGAAATGGAAATAACTACTCATTTATAATATCAAAGGAGCACTAATTCTCTTTGCTAAAGAAAATTTAGACCTCACGGAGGGAAATTTTAAATTCTGCATTAAATCTGCAAGTTGAGAAAACGGAAATAACTTCCCAATTGTAGCATTAAGAGGAGCTGAAAACTTTTGAAGACTTAACGTAGAACCTAAATAGACCTAATTTAGTATTGAAATTTTAACTGAGGATAACGTTGAAACTTAAATATTCAGACTGCGATGATAAAGTTAAGCTTTGAAATGACAATAAGGCGCGAAAATGGAGCTGCGTCGGCAGTTCGATCGAAATATAGAGCTGATCGAGTTCTGTATAATATGTGCAGGAGAAGTGTTCTTATTGGTGAGAAGCATGTGTTTCGATGCGCAGCGCTGTCTCCTGACGAGATCGCGTTTGATCGAATTTCCAAATGAAATTCCAGGTGAACGTTTTGTTAGATAATTTCTATCTCCCTCAAATAAAGTCCGCGCGATATCGTATTTACAGTTATTTTCTTTTTTTACTCCATGGTTTGTCGCATACTTACTTATCATATCTTCAATCGCTGCTTTCGACCGGGCGGTAATAAATTTCTAAGCGCGTGCAAATCCTAATACGTTACACCTGCAATTGTACGTTGACAATTTCCGACTTGAAGAATTATCAGCGCCTTTTGTAAAAACGGGACAAAGATATAAAGTATTTTCTTTCACTATTAGATGAGAAAGTGATATTTCTTCCTCTGTAGCGATGAATACCGGTATTAATTGTAATCAACAATTTGCGCATTCCGACAACTTGTCATCACACGCGATGTAATCGTTACATCAGTGCATCATTATGCGATGTAAATAATTTCGAAGGAAAAGCTTGTACCTAAACACATATCATCAAATGCAAATCACACACAGCGCTCTATTTTATTTTATATATATATATATCTATCTATCTGTGCGATATATGCCTGCAAGTATGGAACGGTAAACTCAGCAAACACTTAAGGCAAATAAATTTCATCATCGTACTTAAGCGGTTTATTAATAATTTCCTTTTTCATTATTAAATTATTAGTATATGATGTGTATATGTGTGCAAAAATTTTCTGGATTTCTAAAGTTACAGGAAAAATATTCCTCTATGTCATATTGTTATTTTATTAATTGATCTCTCCAATATCCTTGACTTTGAAAATCTTACTCGATCTTATGGAACAAACTCAACACTTTTTATAGGAATTTTCGCTTTTCGAACTGTTCGAAGCGTGCGCTTTCAGCAAGCTGGAAGTTCTTAATGATCTTTTAACAAAAGGAAACTTTTCATCAACATCGCTGATCTTTTTGGGGTTGAAATATTTACTTCGAAAGTTTGCTCGCGGATCTCCTCGATCCTTACAGAACATTGGTTCGCTTTTTCTCTCATTTAAAGATTTCACGAGCTCCACTCGGGATTTTGCACATTTCTTGGATAACAGTTCATTACTTTTCTCTGGAATGATTCTTGCATCTTTCACGATAGACTCGGTGGATGTTTCGCTGTGCGATTCGGATTTCTCCGAAAGCTTCTCGAGAATTCCGCTCCCTTGAGCCATTCTGCCGGGGAAATAATTCGGCAGGACGTTGCTTCGCACAGATTTCAGTTGTTTCGACTTGTCAAGGTCCAGAAGCTCGTGTCTAACTTTCGGAGCGTCCCCCGTCACATCTGTTCGCTGCATGCAGCTGAAGTCGTAATTAAATATGCTTCGCGGACTTCGAATGTTCTTCAAGCTCGCTTCGATCAGATCAGCCAGATCGAAACTGTTGTCCCTAGCGACGACAGGGTTGTTGGAGAACGCTGCGTCATTGTTGAATATTTCATAACTGGTCACGGCCGTCTTCTTAGGCTCGGCCTTCGTTTTCGATCGAGGCATACACTGCAAGCCTCGTACTAAATCCGAGGAGGACCTGGCGTTTCCCACAATGTTCTTGGATACCGATGACGCTCTGGAAGTTACGTATTTTGTTTTACCTTCTTGAGAAGTTGCCTTGACCTTGTTGCTCTTATCGACATATTTTTCCGGCTTCTCCGATTCTTTGTCAAATCCCTCGTCATATTTAAAGACTCTTCTGGTTTCTCCTTTCACCGTTATTTTACGCGCGACAATGTCTTCTCTTTTAACGCTCTTCGCATTTACGTTGAATCCAGAATTCAAGTTTTTTGAGTTTTTCCTTGGCGGAAATGACTTCTCCTTCTCCGTCTTCATGTTTGGACCACGAAATCGAGTGTCGGACGACGTTTTGGAAAGTGAAGTGGTTGTCAGATCTGCGTCTGGAAATTCCGAGCGTTGCTTCATTACGATGTTGACAGTCGAGACCGTCTTTGAGATCGGCTTCAACGTGTTGGTGGTTCGCAGCGATGGTTTGATAGTTTTCGCGTCGTTTGCATGTTTGGTTGATAATAATGTTCCGAAATTCTGAAAAATACATTTATACAAAAAATATATTCTGAAAAATACATTTCGTATTTCTACCAAATGAATTTGTTCTTATTTATTATGTTAAGCTGTTGTACCCTTTGATCTCTTATTAATGTCTCCATCTGTCTGTCTCTATAAAGCTGCTTCCAACCGTAAACCTCAGCTTCCTTCCTTTCCCCTACGCCAATTTTGGCGTTTTTATCCCTTTTATAGAGAATCTCCCAAATCAAATCTGTATTGAATATCTAAAGGGAAACGAGTGAAATATTAATGGAATAATAGGATTATTATATTTCATAGAGAGTCTAATGCAATTTTCTACATAAAAACATTTTTCCTTTATATTTTATTTGGTTTAACGATTTTTTAACCAACTCAGTCAATTAATTTTATTTATTTATTTATTTATAAACGGGAAAATTCCATTTTACACACATAAAGAAAAATTACACAACTTATAAAATAAAATATAAAATATTATATAACTTGTATGGATAAATTAGTAAAGTATCGAAAAATGTTGTCAAAATACATAATAATAATTATTAAAAAATTAATTATAATTAATTTTTAAAAATAAAAGCTTACTAAAAAGCAGGACGATAAATTTTATTTTCTGTGTTGATAAAAGTATAAGAAAATTATTATCTCCTTTCACCTCATAGGCGATACGTGATAACAGGGACAACTTGATAATATCTCTGTATTCCAGATATCTTGTTATTTCCCCGATTAAAGATTTCGGCAAAGTCAAAAGGGTATTCCTGTTCCCTTCAGCGATATTTCTGACGTGAATCAACACATGTTCACCTGCAATGTTAAACAAAATGGAATGCAAGATCGAACTTTTTTGAGGGGGTCAAATGTCTCACCAAATCCGTGGCGGATTTCGTCTTGCAATGATCTTTCCCAACTGAATTCGGTGAATCTGACGCGACGTACGATCGGCGTTTTATGCGGGCCGTGGGATACTTTCCACAAATACAGAATCACCTGAGAAACGTGAGGAAGTTACCGAGGAAAACGAGGATCAAGCTTCGTTAGTCTCATCTCGTCACCTCGTCTTGGAGAATTTTAAGACCGTAGTAGTCCCTGCTGGGCGGAGGTGCCACTGAATACTTCACCAAGTATTCGATGCTGTTGTTCATGCTCGACGTGACCACGTCGAGAAAGTTTGGCCTGAACTCCGTCGTTGGTCGGTTCCGACGCGGAAATTGGCACGGATATCGAATCGAAACGTATTCGCACATAACTGATACTTCAATGTCTTCAACGTTAACGTCTTTATTCATTAAATGCATTACGGTAAAGAATGCTTGGATCAAAATTTATGTTTCACATTCTGATATAACATTTGGCTGCCAATTCATAACGTAAAAGAGTTTCGCGACGATCAACTTCCTTGGTGAAAATTTTCATCCAACTTACGCAGAAGGCATAAGCTTCGCTCGAAGGAACGGGAGCAAGCGCTTTTTGCAAAAAAAAAACTCGCAGTATTGACTTCGTGATATTTTATTACAATATTGTCCATATGAAGAGATGAAGATAAATATAGAAATGTCGAAGTAAAAATGGAAAGTCGTGTGGCATTACGTAGTAATTGTAACGTAGCAATAACAATATACAAGGTAGGCTATATAGTAATATCACAATGCATGATTCACAATTTCGTAAAAGTCTAGAGAATAGAATATAAATCTAGGTAGAGGATGTTTCTCATTGTTTTTCTTTTCCTTCTTGAATTGTCGCGCGCGCGCGTGTAGAGACGTACGGAACGTACGGGACGCGATATATCGACCGTTTAAAAAAACCTTCCATATATTTCACTTTTTTACCTTATACTTTCGAAAGTTCATACTCGAGGTACATCGATTCGTAGCGATTGTCGTCATTATTATCCCGCGTAAAATAACTAATGTGTAACAATAATAATAATAATAATATTGATGTATACATATACATGACATTTATATAGAAATGAGTGAGCTTTCGACTATATATCATGTAAGCTGATATCAAAAAATATGCCTAATATATTCATAAAAAATCATCCCCACAATAGACAAGACACTCTTGAAGAATTACTCATTGATTATCTTAATTAGCGACGGAGTAAAAGCGAGTTGATAAATTATTTTAGATCTCAGGAACGAGACTCCTTTCCCGGGAGTCTCCCTTATTCTTCTTTTCGGCCTTTCGAAGCGGTCGGCGCGATTCAGCGTATCAACGATCGGCGGAAACTGTGAAAATAATAACGACAATCACGTACCAGCTATGCTTCTCGCAAATATTTTGCTTGCGCGATTGATATGACGTTTCTAACTTCTCAGGCGATCGCTGTGTCCTCGACAATCTGGAGAACCGTCGTGAAAATAAATTATTATGTGCTAGCGCATAGTCGAAAAGTCTTACGAGCGACGGAATAAACCTAAGCGGTACAAAAAGATTTCGGGATTTCGGGTCGCGGCGGAGGACGCGCGGGCCGATCGTCGTTGTGTAATATAAATTCTATACGGCGATCGTCGGTGCGATCGGAAAAGTCCCCGTGATTCATGATCGTGCAATGACGAGTCGAAGAGCCCGAGAGGATTTCGCCCGCATTCGAAATTACTCTTCCGAGTATCTCGCTGCGGATATATCAAATTCTTTCTTTCTTTCTACAATCGCGCTTCTGCGCGTGATTGTACCGGCAGACTCTCGTGGAACGTCCGCGGAGCGATTGCACCAGTGTGACTACGTCGCGAATTCGCCGCCGGCGAATTCGTCGTTTCCGTAATTCGCGCGCAATTTGAGATTCGAGGCATTCGTTCGACGCCAAATTCGCAAGTTGCAAAATCCATAGACATTTGGCGCATAAGGAATCATTGGGGAAGGAGCCGGGTTGCCAGCTGAATGTAAGCGAAGGTTTACCTCGCGTCATCAACGTCATCCTCGTCGATGTCTCACGTTCTCCACTCGATGCATTCGCTCACTGACGTATCTTCGTGCACGAGATTTCGATGCATCTACGTGAAACGGAAGCAAGTCCCTCAACGAGCAGAGAAAACATTGACTAATCGTTCATACATTGAATATTGAATATTGTTCAAACGATAAAGCGTTGACTTAATTTTCACCGCAGTCGGTCAATTAAACATTGCCGAATCCAAAGCTGGAATTCCGATCAACTAGATATTTCATTCGCAACACGCTACGCATCACACTCGATTTCATTATTCACGCTGATTGCGACACGTTTCAAGCGGGATCGCTTACTTCCGATTGCCACGTGTATGCATACGTACTTGTATACATAAATATATGTGTATACATATATATATATATATATATATATATATATGTAAGTATACATAATATATATATTCGTATAATATTTTGGAAGAACAGATTTGCGTATTGCGATAGCGCGAAGAGGATCGGCGCGACTTATCGAGGGGACGCACAATGGGCCCTCTTTCCATCTCTCTTAGATATGTCAACGGTTACACGACGTGGCCGCAAATCGCCGGCAAATTTTGCTTCGCTTGAGAAATCTGCGAGTTTCGCATTGATTCAAGCGAATGACTCGCCTGTCATTTTATCCCGCGGTCCCGTCGATAAGACGCTCAGCGAAGAAGATTTCGCGAGCACGGGATGCAAGGATGCGTGTTCGGGCTGGAACTCTTAACTTAACTTAGACCTAAAAAGAGAGAAGTCGCTCGCGAAAAGCCCTCGCCGGGACGAAGATGGAGAAGCAAGTTCGTGCGTAGTTCGATCGACCGACCCGATTTTCTCACAGGGCATCCCGGGAGTTCACGGGTCCTACGGTTTACTTTGTACGTCGAGTAGAGTCGCAAGGCCGGTCGAAGGATCACGTGGCGAGGACAACGAACGAGAGATCGACGTAGAAAAGATTCGATCGACTGAATGAACAGCTTACAACGAGAGACCGACGAATAATGTCCTTCCGCAGACTTGGACGTGGAAAATATTAGAAACGTAAAAAAGAAAATACCGCGTCATCGGCAATTCTAATGTAAGTCGAGTAAGACTGGGAATATACTCGAAAAAAGTCGAAGTAAATTCAAAAATCTTCCCAAGATTCGCGCGCAATCATTGGAGAAATTAGGGTGCCGCCTCGCGACCGATGTCATCGAGTGACGTATATACGTCGTGGAGCTTGTTCAATTGAAGAATCACTCGATGTGTACCTTAACGTAATCGCTCGGCATCGCAGTTCTCTGTTACTCGAAGTTTCCGGCGGAACGCTGGAAATACGGGATCCACGATCACCAGATCACAGAACGACGCTCCTCCACGATTGCCCTCTACGATTGCTGCACGATCGATATCGCCGTCGACGTGATCGCCCTTCCGTCCATGCAGATGCTCGACGACGTCGTGGTCCGTTCAGAATGCGCGGCCGCGACGGTCGGCTGTCTCTGCTCCATGTGATCGAGTGTCTTCTCGATGGCTCGTAGCCGCTTCTCCAGGCTGGTGGTGCCGAGGATGCCCACCTGCAGCTGCGGGCCCAGCGGCAAGATCGCCAGCAGCCACCATGCCCACGAAGGACCGTCCGGAAGACGCGGCCAGTCCTCCTCCGTGTCCGGCATGCGGCCGAACACCCGTTGGATCTCGGATTTCTGCGTGCTTGGCACCGTGTCCCACCACCTCCGACCTTTCGCTCGCACCTATAAAAGCACAATGAGTTACGTTTCAGGTAAAACGGAATTATCTTTGTGCTTCGATGAAAGTAAAGAATCAAATGTGTTCTTGCTCGCGAACGGAGTAAAAGTTACATAGAGAAAAATTAGTATCTGTTTAAGACTCATATTCTTATATATAAGCAAGAATCTTGTATGAAGATAAATCTTGCTTTTATATGAAGAAATATTATACATAGTTCTACTAAAAATATATTTATGTTATCCAAGAATAATTTTCATGACTTGAAGGGAAAAATATTAGATAGAAAGAACGATATCTTCAAACTGATACAATTCTTAGTTTGCAGATTTATTGTTATTTCTACCCAATATTTTTTCTCTTGATTCATGAAAATTATTTCTGAACAATTCGAATATGATATTTTTAATGTAACTATATAGAATTTCTTCATATATAAGAACAAGTTTTATCTTCATATAAGATAATATATTGTTGCTTAAACATATGAGAATATTAGTCTTGAATTGATACTAAATCTTTTTTTCCATGTGGACGTTTGAAAAAGTTATCTTTATAGATTCAGAATTTTTCATCTTGCCGTGAATAAAAAACTGAACGTTATAAAAATTTATATTTGTAGACTCCGAATTGTTCACCTTATCATGAAGCTCCAGGAGATTCAGGAGTTGAGTCTCCTGTACGACGGTGTCCCTGAGAAATTCCACCTGCGCCGTGTCGTAACCATCCTTCTCGCCGCCGGAAAGTACCCTAAATCTTTTACCGCCGACCGTGCTGAGAATACTGCAACCATCTTTGAGCAATACTCGATCCCGAATGTCCAGGATAGTGCCGTATTCCGCATATCTGAAAGAAACGCGTAGAATCGTCAATTAAATTAACCAAATGTCAAGTCAAAGTTGAAGAAGGATTCACGCATTTCTGCGATCCGAACCCGTTGTGAGAGATGCACTGAACGTACCTTTTCGTGCCCGTCGCGTCCTTGTTGAGACACGCTGCGATGCCAAACTGGCGCACTCCGCTTTCCACGCATCTTCTAACCATCAGCCTGTATCTAGGTTCGTAGACGAAGAGGGGACAGGCGACGCACGGGAAGGCGGTCGTACAGATGAAGATGGCGATCTCTTCGTTACCCAAAAGACCCAGTCCCTGGACCAGTTCGAGCTGATGACTCACCGCTCTGGAGGTGTATTCCGCGGGCGCCACCGTTTTAAGTGCTCTCTCCACGAAGTCTGTCACGGTTTTCTGGCTGCTGGCTAGATACTGGAAGCGCAAGACACGACTTCGTACTTCGCGAGGAAAGCAAATCTGTGTCGACTTACAACGAAATGCGAGACGTATTAATGTCTTACGTGGGAATATTTAGAATGAGGAGGAAAGTGGAAACTTTATTATTTATGTGTATTTATGTGTATATCACATTCATTATATTATTATTTTATATATTATTTATATTATAGTATTTTATATTATATTATTTCATATTATATTATTTTATATTATTTTTTACATTTTTTGTGTACTAAATTTATTATTTTTTATTAAATCTATTTCCAAGAAAATGAAAAAGATAATTAATTATTACTGGCTCATTATTGTTCTTTAGGCTTTTGCTTTTTGGCGCAGAATTCATTCGTTTATTTCAGCGTTTTCCATTTCCATCAAAAGACTTCTACGTAGTAGTACGACGATACGAAATGGGTCTCGAAAACCAATGCATTAAAACTAATTAACCAAAAGAGTAACACAACAACATAATCATCGTAGCACTGCCGGTTATATTCCCAATACCAAAGAGAGCGTCGCAGGAAGAGTCTTTCTAGATAATCAAGCACGATTATCGGTATTGCGTAGATAGTACGAGGAAACGAGGAGCGCCACGTCGCGCCGCGTCGGTGCCGCAAGATCACCGCCCCGACGTCGTTGTCCTCATCATCATTAAATATAATACTCGTATAGAAGATCAGTAATGACGATACGAACGCGGAAGCTCGCGACGGCCGTCGGTGGAGACCGCAAACAATAATCATTTCGATCCGCGGCGTCGTTGTTAACCGCTAGGAAGCATTACGTCTCATTTGCGGGCAGATGTTGTTGCAGGATCTCCGGCCACGTGTTGCCTACATCGAGTTCTTAGCAGAGGCTCGCCACTATGTTTCAATCCTTTCGACCCCGTTGGGTTATATACGGCCCACAATAAGTTAAAAAATTTACTAATCGAATGAAAGCTCGAAGGACGGTTCTTCGCTTAAAATAACGGTAGAAAAAAAACCAGTGAAACAAAATAAAATAAAATTTTAAATAAAGTAAATAAAAAAAGAGTCAGCTGTTATTGTCCTTATTATGTTTATTCGTTTACAAAATTCATTTGAAAACAAATTAGAATTGTTAAATTTATTTGTCCACATGTTTAACCCTTGTCATATTTATTTTCGAGCCTTTAATTCGTCACACTCCAATTCGTGAGACCATTCGACCTTGTCGTCTGGTCATTTTCATTCTAACTAATATTTTTAAGCTTGTGATAGGAATTAGAATTACAAAATCTGAATAAGATGTTCATGATACCAAATTAAGACAATGATTGCGTTCAAATTAAACTTTTATTATAAGAAAAAAATTACAAGAAAATGAAGAAAAAAAGTGTGTTTGGAAAAATTCTGAAATGGTTTTACAAATGCGATTTAAGAAAAAATAATGTTCGTCTGTTGTAGCGGACACTTCATATATATATACTTAAAAAAAAAATAATAGTATGCCATGTTATTCGTCCCAAAAATATATTAATTTAGTCATTTACAAATTATAGCAATTTTCACAAAGAAGTATAATAGGTCTAAATACAGGTAGTATAAAGTAATAAGAATATAAATAGACAAAAATAGATATTTTTAGTTTTAGCATGACTTCACATCAAGCATAGGTTGATAAGCATTTTTGGATCTGCCAAAGAATTATTGTAAAAACTAAAAAATCGGAAAACGTTCAGCGGCTCACTGGACCTGAATATGGCATGCAGGATTAACAAAATATATATATATGGAATTTCTCGGGAGAAAAAGTGAGATCGAAATAGTTAAAATACGAGTCGTATCAGAGTTATTTTTCTGCGAGCATATTTTTTATAAATTAAAAGAATTGTCTTACGTCAGCCAACGATGTGACGCACAGGGGACAGGCCGAGGAATAATCCAGACAGCGATCCAAGCACATCCAGCAATAGGTATGACCGCACGGTGTTGTGACGGGTTTCCAGAGCAGGCGACAACACAGGATGCAATCCAATTCCCCGGCAGTGCCGCCGGAAAGCGGCGGCAAGAGGACTTCGGCGGGTTTCGGCTCGATTCCTGTAAGCGACGTCGTGTCTCGAAATACTTTTCAGGAGGTATAATGGATGCTCTCGTACGCGCCGGGACGATCGATAAAGCTTACTCACTTTTGAATTTTTCCATGTCCTGGTACACCCGATCCAGACTCGCTTGCAGCTTTGTGTTGACTTGCGGCGCGATGGACGACCGAAGTCTTCTGCTTATCGTCTACGAAGCGAAGCACGATAAGGTGAAAGGTGAGATATGCGTTGCGAGCGATTATATAAAAAGGCTGGACGCTATTAGAATATGTCGATAAACAAAAACAAAAAGAGAAACTCGCCTGCGATCCGGAATAATTGAACTCGAACGAAAACGAGAGAACAAAAAAGACGAAAAAAATTATAATTTTTTTCAAATTCAATTAATTTGTCCTCTTTCTTTTTTTGATAACGAGATCACTCGAAATAAGAGTAGAAATGAGAAAATGGAGGAACAAGATTCCCTCGAGGGACACACCTGAGAGAATTCCTCCTCGCCGCTGCTGTTGTCCTCGTAGTCGGACCTGTTCAGGGCAGCGCGTCTGCTGCGTTTGGGATTCATTAACTGATGACGGCGTCTCGTGCGTGACGCGCTCTTCGTTAGACTATATGGCGTGCGTGACGACAGAACGTTCTGTCGACACACTCCGGGCGACAGCACTCTGTGCAGGATCTGCAACACGTGTCCATAAACTTATTAAAATCATATGAATCTGTGTACTGAATGCAAAATCAACGTGCAACTGGCATTCAGTTTATGTTACTCAATCAGACATGTTAATATTTAAAGAATAGCAATCGTAACTAATCATAATTCACGCAACCTGTTTTTAATCAATTCGCCCGTCGAGTTCCTATGGAAGCGAATCGCGAACATAGAACCGAACGGAAAAAATCACTTAAGTAGATATTCTCATTTGAGACGTCGTTTTATAGATGAATTTTGAAAATTTTTCCGAAAAAACCATAAGATATATAATTCTGAAGTTTTGTATATAAATATTTATCTATATTTTAATTATATATAGTAATTTCTACACGTTATTATATATATCATTCTCGATATCAATAAAGTTCTAAATAATTTTTTATAGCGTTGAACGGAAGTTTTGCTTGCATGGTTGCCGCGATTTCGGACGTTGTAGACTTAAACGACGACAAAATTATTAAACTATAAAGTTGTGGCTATCGTCCTTACCACGATGTAAGATAAAAATTGCTTTTCGAAATAGCACGACTTAAAGGAGAAAAATCGATTTTCGGCCAGATATTTTCCAGCTTTGGAAGTCCTTAAAAATCAAAATATTAAAGATATTGATTTCACCGTGGTAGGAGCCGCAAGTTTATAGTTTAATAATATTTCTGCCGTTTTTTTAGAGTTTCAGAAACCTATAACGTTCGGAATCGTGACAATCAATCTTTCACGTTCAGTGCTAACAAAATTATTGCTAACTTTATTAATATTGAAGATAAAAATGTATAGAAATTGCAGTATACGGCTAAAGCATAAACGAGTATTTGTGCAAAAGTTCAGAACTGTTTTATAGTTAAAAAAGGGAATCCTAAATGTCACCTATCAAATGAAACGTTCCAAATGAGAATGCCCCTTTAATGTCAAGGAAACCGCCGTTTCTCACTGAAGAGACTTCAATCCTAGGATTCGAGTCGTGATTGCAAAACGCGATCGCTATCGCGCTGTGACTCGTCATTCGAATCATCGAAGTATTAGCATTGAAAATTGACGAACCATAACGAACTCTACGATCAAAGGTCATTCCAAGTGACACCTTCACCAACGACAGAAGCGAAAAACTGGCCGTTGTTCCCTCAACGAGCGTGCGCCCGGTGCAACTCCCCTTTCTTGTCGTGTCTCCCGCGCACGTCTAAGATTAACGAGAGGAACGAAATAACACGGCCGCCAAATCGGCGGCGATTAACACGCGAAATAACACGGTTGGCCAATGAACGGTTGGCGCGCGCTGGTCGTTTTCGGACGATGAAAGTAAAAGTGTGCCTACCGTAATGCGGAGCCGGCGGATTCAGCGGCACGGGAAAGAATGATTCCTCGATCTTACATAAGTGGCAGTGGAGCTTGCGTCAATGATTCCGCCATCGGCCGCGCGCTTACGTAACAGCCGACGCTCCGAAATTCAACGGGCGCGCGTGCGACCGAGCGCTCCTTTTTTCCCCCTTACCTCCATCTCCTTAATTATTTAACGTCGAAATTCGACGCGTGAGCTCTCGCGTTGAATTATTTAAACGCTCATCGATTGTTGCTACATAGAACCGCGCTTTTTGTCGCGTGCGCCGCGTAAACTCGCGCGGATCTTCGCGGTGACGCAATATTGCGAAGACCGTCCGACAGCAGCTTCCGATGCAGATTAGAACCGTGTAATCGGATGCCGATGCTCAGCTGCGCGTCTGATGACAAATCAATATTATTCCGCGGCTTTCTCATTAGTTCGACGAAAATTACGCGCGCGCACGCAGATTCGACGCGAAGCGTACGAAGCGAGTGCGACGAAGCGTTACATCGCCGGGCGAAACGGAAGTTCACGTGGAAACAACGAGCGAGGGAGGTCGAGCAATTTACGAAATACCGTTAATACCGCAACGTAAGGAAACTTCCGCATTATGCGGAGCGCGATTTCGGACACGACATATGCTCGTCGCGCGTCTGGATTTCTCCAGAGACCGACGAATCCCCGACGATCACCGACATTTCCGGCGAAAGAAATTTCTGTGCTGTAAAGAAAATTTAATAATGAGTATTAAAGTTTGGTAAATATTTGTCGACCACATATTTGATTACTGCAAATAAATAATTTAGTAATGTATACTGTATAAACTATACTGTAGTTCCATACATTGTATATTTAGTACACGGAACTAAATTACTTGATGCCTGCAGTAGTCAAATATTTGGTCGGCAAATATTCACCAAATTTTAATACTTATTGCCAAATCTTTTTTTCAGTGTGGACGAGCGAGATTTGCGTAAATAACGTACGGAAAAAAAGAAAAAAAGAAAGTTATCAAGTATACATTGAGGGAGAAAATATAAGAACAAGCGAATATTTCTTTGGTGGGTTCTTACACGATATTTATTTAAATCTAAATTCACTTTATTTAAATTGACTATTACTTACTTAAACATTATTCTATTTAAATAAACAGAATTTAGGTTTAAGTAAATATCGTGTAAGGATCCACTAGAGAAATATTTGTTTGTTTTTAAACATTTTTTTTCTCAGTGTAAGACCGTCGAAAGTTAAGCGCGAATCTTGTATCGTCATATATGAATCTACTCACATAGAGAAAAATATTGTGATAAAAATATTATACAAAGAGAAGCAATTAATTTTTCTTTTTTTAAATAATGGTTTATTTAAATAAGAAATATTTTCTTGATGATAGCATTAAAATATACTCATCACAATAGAAAAGCTCATTATCATTTACATTACTCAAAATCATTATCATTACTCAAAAGAAGAAAATATGTTCTCTTTTCAAGAATATTGTAAACTTTATCGAAAAAAGTTAAATTCGATTAATTGGAATAAACCGAAGTTTTAGTTTTAATATTTTAGTTGAATATTCTTCATTGAAGGACTAAACTTACTAGGAATCAGAATACATTTTAAATAAATTAGATGCTTATGATGTATTTACGATTATACTTGCGGATGCATAAATTTATAAAATACATAAAACAAATTAATACTGCGGTATGTATTTTTCTGCGTGCAGCGAACATTTAACAGTAACATAACATCAATATTATGATTTCCTGTTTTAACGATGTAAATGCAATATAAGGCACATGTTATGTAACAGTTACATTGTTGAATAGGAAATTATAACATTGACGTTATGTTAACGTTGATTGGTGTTTGCTGAGTACATATCATTCATATTTTCCCGCGAAATAACCGAGAACATTATCCGCGAATAGCGTGTCATGTCTTTGATGAGGATGCGAAAAAAAAGAGAAAAATCCGACGCAGGAGAAATTCTGCATTATGTACGCGAGGGTGGGAAACGCAGTGCGCGGAGTCGGCCGCGTGCGTCACCCGGCGGAAGATCGATATATCGACGCCGCGAGGCGAGCGGAACACGTGGAAACGGCCCATTCGCTCGCGAAGAGTAGCTTCGGCTTGTTCTTCCTCCCGTTCGTTCATTCGCTCGCTCGTTTGTTCGTTCGTTCGCTCGTTCGTTCGTCCATTCGCTCGCTCGTTCGTTCGTCCATTCGCTCGCTCATTCTCTCGCTCACTCACTTGCGCGAATGTGGTTATCGTTACCCCCGGCGTGCGCGGGTCACTCACCTGACGACTATCGTACCGAGTCATTAAGCTGCACGGCCGGCAGTCGTGCCGGAAACGCCGCGGCGCGCGTTTCTTTTGTGTTGATGATGCTCTTCGAGTACGGCCGGTGCACCGCAGCCTTCGGCGCATTCCGCGACTCTTTCGCGCGCGCGGATTCCTGACTCATGAGCTCGGGAATTTCGCAGGCGATTCGAAGATCGGCTGGGACGATTCACCGGGAATCCTCCGGCCGAGCCCCGCAATACGTATTTTACGTTACCTTGGTCAGCTCGTGGCGCACAGCCTGCGGGTTCTTGTCGATGGCCACGCTGATGCAGAGCGCGTAGAGCGCCTCCTCGTGCCTGCCGAGCGCCGACAGAGCGATTCCCCGCCTGTAGTGCCCCTGAACATGCGAAAATGCTGCGTTACGAGACATTTGTCAACTTGGAGAGAAGCTGAACATATTATATATATATATATATATATATGTATGTGTACCAACATAAAAAAGATAGGGAGAGATTGAATTTGAATTTAAAATCGAGACGCGGGCATGCGCGAAATGTCACGTCGCGCGACAAACGCGCGGCCGATAGCGGCGCACGTAGGCGTCGCTCCTGTGTTTCCTCACCTTGCCCCAGTCCGGCCGCAATCTAACTGCATGATCAGCGTCCGTGAGAGCGGCTGAAGGCCTATTCAACAGGAGCAAGACGTGAGCCCTGTTGCTAAGGTGGAGCGGGCTATTCGGCGCTGAAACATGAGAGGAACGGGCTCATAAAATGTCTGCCGAATGGCGGGCGAGTTCTCCAGCTCCGGGACACCGAGCGCTCGTCCCGTGGGAACCCGGCGTTGGTGAATCATCGCGAATAAATTTATCCTGCGGGCCGAATAAAAGTCGGAGTCGACAGAGCGAGAGGGATCGTGTCAACCCGTCAATCGTGCTCTCGCCGAGAGAAAGAGAGAGAGAGAGAGAGAGAGAGAGAATAGGGTGCATAGAGAAGAAAATTGTGAAATCAGTGATAGATATTTTCATATATAAGCAGGAATATTATAATCAGATCTTGAGTGTACGTAATACTTGCATCGATATAAATTTAATCAAATTAAGACTAAACATCTAAGAAGATTACAATATTCTTGCTATATCTATTCTTGATTTAAAAACATTTTTTTTTCTATGTATATTTTAGTATTATAGTTACCTTTGGAAAATAGAACTGTCATAGACTTTTTTACTTAGTCTGTACACGGAGAAAATATTGTAGTAAAAATTACCACTAACTTTCGTAATGCCGAACCATACCAAAATTATAACTGTGATGTGTGTTGTAATCTTTAGTGATATATTTTGTTATAATTCCGATATGGTTCAACATTAGGAAATTTTGTGGTAATTTTTACTGTAATATTTTTTCCGTGTACATACGTTCAAAGAATATATAGACCAGATGTGCACAGCGAAAAACACTAATTTCTTTCCAGAGAGAAAGAGGGAGAGAGAGAGAGATAGAGGGGGAAGGTGGGAGGGAG